GATAGATAGATAGATAGATAGATAGATAGATAGATAGATAGATAGATAGATAGATGTTCGTATATAGATAGATAGATAGATAGATGTTCGTATATAGATAGATAGAGAGAAAGATGTACATAGATGTCTTGCTACTGACTGATACAATTCAAATGTGGTCACCATTTCTTCCTCCAGGCATTCAGAACCAGAAGCCTATCTCAGAAGACCCACGGCGTGCTGTAGAACTCTTGGGGGCCCTTGTCCTGGTCAACTTTTGCCACTGGGAGAATTTCGTAGACGGCCGCTTCCTCTGTTTCGGGAATTCGGAGAGTGAGGAGACCGGTGGAGCTGTGAGCGACGCTCCTAGCGCCCAGGAGGGGGAGAAAAAAAGGAACAGCGGCTTCTCCAACGCCGTGCTCAAAGTGAGACATGAGCTGGCTGAAGGTCGATTCTACCCTTACGTCGTGGCCAACCTTCTCAAGATCGGGCTCATTGTGTGGATGGTGAGGGCGGACGATTGTTTGTTTGTGTGTCTATGTTTGTTTGTTTGTGTAATGTGTTTGTTTGTTTAATTTGGGTGTTTGTTTGTTTGCGACGTTGGCTGTATGAGGGTCTATTCTACCCTTATATCGTGGAGAACCTTTTCAAGATCGGGCTCTTTGTTTGTTTGTGTGTTTGTGTGTGTGTTTGTTTATGTGTTTGTGTGTGTGTTTGTTTGTTTGCTTGTTTGAGTGTGTTTGTTTGTTTGGTTGGTTGGTTGGTTGATTGTTTGATTTGTGTGCTTGTTTGTTTGTTTGTTTGTTTGTTTGTTTGTGTGTTTGTTTGTTTGTGTGTTTGTTTGTTTGTTTGTTTGTTTGTTTGTTTGTGTGTTTGTTTGTTTGTTTGTTTGTTTGCGACGTGAGCTGTCTGAAGGTCGGTTCTACCCTTTTATTGTGGCGAACTTTTTCAAGATCGGGCTCATTGTTTGTTTGTGTATATGTGTTTGTTAGTTTGTTTATTTAGTTGGTTGGTTGGTTGGTTGGTTGATTGTTTGATTTTTGTGTATGTTTGTTGGTTTGTTCGTTTCTTTGTTTTAATTACGAGAGTGATTTTTATA